TTGGCTTATCCTTGTCTATCATCAATATACTTCACTCCAGGCCCTCTCTGAGCTCAGTGCAGCTTAGAACATCAAATTAAGTTGCCATCCATCCTTCTGTAGGCTGACAGCAGTCTACCCTATCACTTTCTATTGCATTCTTGCTCCCTCTTCATCAGGAGCACCCCCAACCCTCAGCACTCGTCCTTGAGTGTTGTAGCTTGCAAAAACCCACCCAAGTCAAAGGTTCTACCATCTAGGTACCACATAGGCACACCACCACTTGCTCTTTTTGTCTTTTGTGTTGGTGTTGGTTGGTTTTCACCACTGAACCACACTTTGACTCACACTGTCTTTATGTTTCATCAGAGGTACATCTTACTGTGGACAGGCCTGACCATATGTTGTGACAATATAAATAATACTACTGGAGGGCCTGTTGTAGGAATAGGTAATTGATGAACCTAGAAATAGAAATTAGTCAGTAAATGGGCAAATATGCACTCAACCCAAAAGGGAGATCCTGTTTTGGAGACACAAAGTGTAGTAAAGGTGTAAAAAATGCAAACTGGAAAGACTACTTAGCTTTGTCCATCCAATACCTCTTGCCAGTCCTCCTGGCCCTTTGGGTACTCCCCAAAGTAATAATTCTAACTTCAAAAACTTGCTGAATTGTGAGATGAAATCACCCTGCTACTGAGGGCCTGTGACATGAACTGCTTGTATAGTAAACTGAACTTGCATGAACACAGCACATGTGCTTAGTCAGCAACATGGCCACTTGCCACTAAGTCCAGTGGTACAAACATGAAAACAAAAGCAAGAAATAAACAAGTCCCTCAACCCCTAAACTCCTGACCAAGATTTCTCCTAGGGAACTTGAACTTATTCCCTACATCTGAGGGGTGGTTTAGAATTTGACCATCCTCAGTTGCTCTTCTCCTTGTGCAAACACCCTTGCCCTTTGCATTTACTTCCCTTGACCTTGCCCCATATCCTCACCCTCAAACTTCGCACTACCCAGGCATAACCCCCTTCTTTCCAAAGATCTGCTCCTGACCTCGCAGAACAACCCTCTCAACCCTCAAAACTCCTTGCCTCCAAATACAGCTCCTTCCACCCAGAACCACCACCTGGCCTCTTGAACATGCACCCTGCCTCTCGAACTCCTCACTCTCCTTGCAGATGACCCCTTCAACCCTCAGTCACTCCTCAGCCCCCAAGTTTCTTGAACTGAATGACCCCAGAAGTAACTCTGAGCACACAAACAAGCAAGTAATAAATCAAGTGCAGAACAGAGCAGCTGCTGCTCCTTGAGGCACAGTTTTCAGCCCTCTATGAAGCACCTCAAATACATATATGTACCTAAAAAGACTCCCAATCAGTTGCATATTTACTATCCTTGTACACATGTGGCCTTGACTCCTTTTTGTCCTTAAGATGATCTAGTACAAGGAAAAGCAACAAAACTTGAAAATATACATCAGGGTGAGCTGAATCACCTGAGGACTAGTGCAACTCAGTTGAGCAATGTCGCTTGAAGCAAAACTCATTTTAAAAGAAAACTATATATTGACACACTCACCAGGACTTTTTCTATACTGTCCTTCTCATTCCCATACTACTGACTCTTGGCATGCACACATGGTTGACTTCTCATACTTTGTCTGGTACTCCATCAGGTGGCCAAAGCCCTTGCACCAAGAGTCACTGAGTGACTTTGAGTCACCCATCTTCATTTACTACTTGTTCACTGCTAGAAACAAAATATCTCAAAGCAGCACATGTTTGAACTATAATAAAAGCTGTCACCTTAAGTCTGTGGATCCTCAAACCCTCCTCAATGATAGGTCTTCGACCCTGACAGGTGTGGGCACTAAGTTCACTCAATCTTAGTTGCTGGCCTTCAACCCCACAGTTGGGCAGATGGAGTCTTGATACTAAGTGCCAATGAATGGCTTCGAGCATCCACCCCTGTTGATTGCCTTCACCTTTGCACCAGGGTACCTGTACCTCGCAGTAGATAATGTTCAAATCAAAACCAAAAAGGGCACCTTGGCTTTGAATTTCCCCTTGCTGAGTTTCATCAATAGCTCTTTACACTCTACCTGTGAACTCACACCATCTTCTTTTCCTTCGGATATCAGTGGCCACACTTCAACTTTGTTGAGTACCTTAGTCTTGGGCTCGGTGCATGAACCCAAGTCACTTCAAACATATTGAGTGCTACTTTGTTTACCTGGCAGTTGATCTGCATCAAGGTGACTTAAAACTACTAGAAGGAGAACATGTGGTAGGAGTGAGGTGAGATAAGAGATTAGATAGGATGAAAAGAAAAGGAAAGGAAAGGAGAAAGAGTATGTATTGTAACAAGGAGGCACACAAAGACATAAGTAGTATTCTTGCAATCATGGTGATCACAGTCAGCATTGAAGAATACATGGTAGTGTTGGTCCTCAACATTGAATGATTTAGAAATGATCACAGTGCCAGCTGGAAAAACAACTTGATCTTTGGTGATGCTTATATCATAGTTTCTCTCAGGATGGATCCACAAAGCTCCTTCTTGTTGTGGCCCACCAGTCTCTCAGTCAAAGTAGATGACAATGATGGGGGTAAGTTGCCTGAGTTTTTGTCACTGAAAAGAATCCTGCAGTTAGCAGGATGGCTAAGAAGCCACTGGACAAGTATTTCAGTACAAGGAGTATCCCAATTGATGTTTTTCAGCTGGATACTTTCCATCGAGGAGTCAGCCACTGGCTGCTTGTTGGATGCTGGGCCCTTCCCTTTACTCCCACTCCCAGGTACTTGTGAGGACAATCTACCACCAGTAGTTGCAGTTACAGAAGACCTTCATTGACGAGCTTGTCCGCTTGATGAAGCCATGGGTTTTGATAAGAGTGACTGCAGGTGAGCAGACTGTTGAGGGTGTCGTCAATAGGGAGGCATAATTTTCAAACTCTGTCATGGCATTGTTCTCAAATTTGCCACTTCCAGAGTGCTTCCAAAGCCACCTTGAGTGCCACTATAGTTTGCCATAGGTTCTTGAACCACAATTGCATAGATATAGGTTGCACTTCATTGTGTACAGTTGTTTTCCCTTGAGCCATTGGGCTCAGTATTCATGCTCATTGCATATCATATCCTCAAAACTTGCTGTTGCAGTTCAAACTGTACCCCACACTTGACTTGTGGTACTTCCACACAATTTTTGATTAAAGATTGTCATAGAGTCTTGCATCATGATTGCTTGGTTGTCAGTCACTCCTTGTCACATGTACAAGCTTTCCCTAGAATGGCATAGATGTAAGTCAAGTGTTTCGGAATCAAAATGAACTTCTGAGCCATTGAGCTCAGTACCCATGCTCCTTGCACCTTGTCTCCATAGAACAGCTCTTCCAGCCTTGCACAACCTTCAATCCTGTAGAACTTTGTATTCCCTAAAATGTGGTAACTGTAAGTAAAATGCTTCAACAAAAAGAGTAAACTCTGGGCCATCAAGCCCAACCAATGTGACTTCGACACTGCTCACATGTTGCACATCTTGCTGTGATTCTGACACTTGTTGTCATGCTACCCTTGGTAGCTGTCCTCAGGTGTAAGTCCACAAAATCCCTTTGAATGTCTCTCTTTGGGCACTTTGTAGTTGCCATAGTTGTCATGCTGTATATTTCATAGCTTCTGTACTAGACAAAAAGAAAAATACCACCTTTGAGGCTTCAGCTTGCTCTGACCACTCACCCCATTCATATTAGCTTTGTCAGATCACTTTGCATAGCTTCTCCTCAACAGTCCACTGACTTTCCTTGTAGGTCATCACAGTCCATTGTATCACAGCTGCATGGATGTGGCTTGAGCATCATCTCACACATCTGTTTTTCCTAGAATAAGGTAGTTGTAAGTAAAATGTTCTGAAATCAAAACAAACTGATGAGCCATTGAGCTCAGTGTCTGCACTCTTTGCACCCCATCTCCATCAAACAGCACTTCCACTCTCACATGGCTGTTGATCTGTACCAAGTCTAATCATCATCTTCATTCCTTGTATTGAGATCATCTGGATGTCAGATGCTCTTCATCATATATAGCCATGTCCCCTAGAACAAGGAAATTGTAAGTAAAATGCTATGGAAAGTAAATGAAACCTTGGGCTGTCAAGCCCAGTACCCACACTTGTAGTGCCTTGTTCCCATCGAATGGCACAGTCAATCTCAACTGGCCATTGACCTGTGTTAGGTCTAGTCATCATCATTGTTGCTACTGCTTGAGTCACTGCCATTGTCACCTGTGTCCTTGTCTTTGTTGCTATTGCTTGTAATCCCAGTAGCTTCTGTACAATATTCTGTAGAACTTTGAATTTCTCCTCACATGGCCATCATCCTGTGCCAAGCATCATTGTCATCATTCTTTGTATCATGATTGTCTGGACATTGCTCACACATTGTCATATATAGCCATTTTCACTAGAATAATGTAGATGTAAGTAAAGCATTCCAAAGTCAAAATGAACCTCTGAGCCATCGAGCTCAGTACCTGCACTCCTTGCACTCCATTTCCATAGCATGGCACTTCCTATCTTGTATGTTTATTCCAAAAAATTTGCAGGTGGCTGTGCTTACAGCCACTGCAAATTCACTGACTAAGTGGAAGGTGCACATGCAAGAAAGTGAGGGTTGGGAGACTTGTGGGCTGTGCACAACCCTTGCCTGTACATCTGTACTCAATTCAATGCTACTGGAAGCCACTCTATGTTGGCCATGTAATTATTCATGACATAAATGGGTATTCTGCAAAGAGACCTGCCCAAATTTGCTAGATGAGTGGTGTTTGGGCATGGGAAGTGGTCACATGATCATGCCTCATGTGTGGTGCTTGTGCTTCAGGCTCAGCTGTGTGTGTGTGAATGTGCACTTGCAAAAAAATTGGCATGGGCTGCCCTTCCACCTGGGAAAATTTGCTTATCTGGCTGCAAATTTCCCAGTGCTAAGTGACTCAGCACACTTTACAATGGATTTTGCACTTTACAACCCATTCCTGATGCAAATTTCCCACTTTTTGTTGGTTAAGAGCATATATAAACACATGTAGGATGTGAACAGAGTTCCTTGGCACCCTCCCAAGCCATCCCACCCAAGCCCTGACAGTGTGATGCCCTGCAGGGCCCACTCAAATGCCCAAACCCCCTCCCTGCCCACCTGCCTGAGGGTGGTCTTTCCTTTTAAGGAAGTTCCCACAGCATCGCCACATGCAAATTTTTCGAACTAAGTAACATTGTCATCATTGTTGCTGTCACTCTGTTTGATGCTGCTGTTGCCCTCGCTCTGGTTGCCATCACTCATAACTGCAGTACCTCATGCACAGTACACCTTTTGCCCCATTCTTCATATCCTGCAATTGTAGTGGTCTTGAGTAGTCAGTCTATAACACTAGAGTCATCAGTATGTAGTGTTACTTGCATGTGTGTGGCATTGACATGCAGAGCAATCACATGACTTTGCTTAGTCAACATTGCAGGACTTTCTGCACAAGTCCTAATACTGAGTGTGCACATCAATACTCTCAATGGGTTCTCAAATAAAACATCTATTGCCAACACTGCATGGCCATGGAATTCTTCAGGTGCAAGGGCATTCCTCACTACATGCTTCAATATTTCAACTTGCAAAACCTCTTCTGGTGGCTTCCTTTGTATGTCTGATGTCAACAGCCTTTCAATCTTGATCCTTCTTGCTATAACCTTTGCCTTTGTATGATTCATGTGCTTCAGCACCCTGTGTGAGTCAGTGGTTTCTCCATACACCAACCTCTCTGCCTCAAGGCTGCTTGCAAGCATTTCAAGCTGCTTGACTTCAACTCCTGTGGGCTTCATGTGTTCTTTGAGCCTCTCTGCTTCAAACTCGAGCAGAATCTTCAATACAAGTGACTTGTCTGCCAATTGCTGAGCCTCTTCACTGACTGTGGGAACCTTGATGGTGTTTTCTTTGAGACTTCAACATCTTAAACTGAAAGCATCAGTAGCTAGTTGAGAAATTTGGTGAGAATGAAATGAAAAACCCCCTTGAGCATGCTCACTTGCCTCAAATTCAATTGGCACCTTCATTGTGAGTAGTTCTTCCACTACTACAGGTTCAACTTGCTGGAGTTTTGGTGCTACCTGTAACTTGGTAGTCAGTATTTCATTTGTGCTCGAAGACAACTCTTTTGTCTTGAAACAGGCTGCTGCCACTGCTTTGATGAGCCTGCCTGGGCTTCAGTCTTCACTCTTTGACTTCTCAGATGGACTGTGTGGCTGTGCACAACTTGTTGAAGCCATTTTTGGCACTTTCTCACATTCTATGTATCTTGATAATTCTGTAGATCCCTGCATATTGGCTGTCAGCAAGTCATGTGTAGCTGTAGATGAAAAACACTTCATAGGTAGATGTTGCTTGTCCGAACTCAATTCCTGGTCACTTTGTGACCAAATGTACTGTTCTGTGCCTCTCTGAGGTCGCTCTGAGTGGATCCTTTCTGTAGCAATTTTGTAGCCACAGCTGTTACTTGGTCCATGGGCCATGGGTTGTCAGAATGTCACTGTTGATCGTCACATCGCATTTTCAACACAATTTCATGCCAAAATTCTTTGTCAAAACCCTGTAAATAGAGGTCTTCAAGTTCATCAGCCTCAAGTTGCTTTGAAACCTGTAGATATGTTGCCAAATCTAGAAAATAAAGTCTGTAGTTCATCAGCTCCTCCTCTGTATGAATCTCTCTCCCCACTCAGCTGTCAACAAGGCTGTAAAGGTCACTTCTTGAATGCTGTTGATCCAATTTCCAGGACCCAGTATACAAACATGCAATGGCCACCATGAATTTGGGCCAATTCAAAAAACCATACCATGAGTCAGCAACTTCACTGCCTGCATACCAGCAAGCCCATTTTGCCCATTCTTGGTCATTGAAGCATTTCTCATGCTTGCAAAGACTTTGAACCTCTTCAAAATACATAAAAAGGTCAGATGCACACCCTGAGAACCATGGTGCATCCCTCAAATGCCTTGGTGGCATTCCCTCGAGTTCCTCTGGCACATTCTCATGGCTTCTTCACAGAAAATCGACTATTAATTTGCCTTCATATTTGTTTCTTGACTCAAGGGATCTTCAACTTAGACACTTGCTCAACATTTGCTGCTCAAAAAATAGCTCCGAAAATTTCCTAAATTCCTGAGTGTAGACTGTAACTAGAATCAAAATTCTGAACACTTAGCTTGTCCAAGCCTAATCCAGAAAAATTTTTGTGCAGTGATAAAGTGGTGGCTGTTATGCCTGTGTTAGTGGTCTTTCCTTTTTCAACTTCTCATGGTCACATGTGTCATGTGCCTTGTCATGTCCCTAATAATCATCACCATTCTAGGGGTTCATATGCTTCAAGGCTCTCTCAGATCTCCCGCTGTCAAGGTATTTCCAATACCTGTCAAGACTGGGTCTATGCTTTGATCCAGTGTTCCACTGCCCTCTCTGATGGATGACATGTTGTCTTCTTACTTTTTGACTTGCCTCTGACTCATTTATATTGCTCTTATGTTGTATTATAGCTCCAGTGTCTGGCTCCTCACTGCACATTGATGGTGCAGTCAGTATAGCCTTTGTTCCCTTGACTATCCCCATCATCTGACACCATATGACTCTGCCTGACTTATTTATTTGACTGATCGTTCTGTTGATTACTGCAGATATGCATCACATCATGTCTGGGCATGACTGGTATGGTACTCATACTTACAGGTATATAGTCTGGAGTACTTCATCCTGTATCCTCAGTTGTTTGATAGCTTGCAACTCAGCTTCATCCCTTTGCTTTCATCCTTGTTCCTTCCTCCATGTGACAACCTTAGGGACCACCAGAAGGATCAAACCTTTGTTGGACTTCAGCAATAACTGAGCCATAGGGGTAATGACAAGTTCAGCCTGTAGACTCCCCCTCATGCACTTTGTGCCTATTCCATTTGAAGAAGTCACTGTGCTTGGGCATAACAAAATCAAGAAACTCAGCACAGCTTTCAGGACTCGTTGACCTCTTCACAAAAGTCTACTCATCCCTGGTTACTGAACTTCAACAAACCATTCTATCCATTTACAAGGCTCGCTGGTTTCCCTACATGTAAAAACTGACTCACCTTTGTCTGCTTATCAGATGAGATTGAGAAGCACCCCTCTACCCTTAACCAAGTTCACTGCTCTACAGGCAGCCACTAGGCTTTAATAGATCACCTCCCTAGAGCCAGTGCTCATGTCTCCCTATGTGTAAAGTCACTCACACACCATCAAACACCCTTATGCTGACAGGTTTCTTTTGAGAAATAAATCCTCCCTCAGCCTTCATTGTCACTATCTGTAAAAGTGTCTAACTCTCAGAAATTGAGACCACCAGTCCCTCCTCATCCTAATCCACTTGGGTTCAGTAGAAATCCACCATTACCACCCATCCCACTAGGAAGACTCAGTCCTTCAGTACCTGCCACTAACCCCCAGTTATCTTATCTATCCCAGTTTAGGGATTCAGAAGTCACACATAGTTCAGAAGAAGAAGACAATCAGAAGTCCAAGACTTCTTTCAGATCAGTCCTCAAAGAAGAACAAGAAGCTCACAATCAAGAAGAAATGTCCATGGCAATTGGTCACAGAGATTTGGTTCCTGAAATGCCCCTGAGGACCATTTTGGAAGAGGAACTGAGACAGAGGTTGGAAGAACAAAGAGTCATAATGGTGGAGGAGCTTCACTGGGCAATGCATGCAACTACAAGCGACCCATTCCCAACAAGTACGCCTACTGACTTGGCTTTGTGAGAATGGTATCATAGGAACTTTGGAAAGGCTGTACCCCCAGAGCTATCCACTGGTGGTAGCAGTAAGGGAAAAGCCAAAGCCAATGAAGATGATGACTACTCAAGCCACCCACCCAACAGAGGTCAGGAGTTTAATGTCAGGTGTCCCAGAGAATATGATGGAAGCCACAATGGGCTTCAGACCTGGATTATGCAGGTCGAAGGATACTTGAACCTTAACAAGCACATCTACAACACAGAGTCCCTCAAGATTTTGTTCACACTCACATACATGACCAAGGGTGCCACCATGTCATTCACCAAGAACTATCAAAATGAAAACAAGATGCTTGACAGCACTATCTATTACACTGACACCTTTCAAAGGTTTGTTGAAAGACTGAAGGCTACCTTTGAGTTGGGAGATCAAACTGCCCTCGCAATCTTATGTCTCTCAGACATCCAACAAGGCAAATGAGAACTTGAAGTGTATATTGCTGAGTTTACAGGGCTTGTCAACAAGGCTCAACTGAAGGAAGAATCACATGAAGCAGGGATCCTCTTCAGAAAAGGATTAAATAAGGAGTATCACAACTGGGTTCTCAATTCTGGATGTGCCCCTTCCACAGTCATAGAGTGGATACAGTGTGCAGGAGAAGCTTGAACCATGATCACAACAAAGCATATCCTAGAAGGGAAGGAATCATGGTATGAATGCAAATTTTTTCATTGCTGCAGAGGTTCCTGAGATCCTGATGCAATGGATGTCGATAAATGCAAATGGAACGTTAGATGTTCTGGCTTGGAAATTAAGTGCTTCAACTGTGGAGCCAAGGGTCACATCAAATGTGACTGTAAAATCAAGGTCAAGACTCGACTGTCTAATGTCCGCATTGTATTAGCCAAAGATGGCACGAAGACTGCTTATGTCAGAGATCATGAGGCTAATGCAGAAGAGAAGAAATTGTTGGGTTTTTAAAGGGGACTGATGAATCTCCTGCATCAGTCAGTCCCATTTCAATTTTGTCTGCTAAATGTACTTCTATAGATGATGAATCAAATATGCAAATTCATTCTCCTCTTGGGTTGGTCATTTTACCGGACTTCAAGGCAGGAATATGGGCCTGTATTGACTGAGGCACTGAAGTTTCCCTCATCTCAGAGAAAATGGTCCAGAAACTCAAGATTCCAACCTCTCAGGTTGAAAAGAAGTTCAAGACAACCTTGTTCACTGGCAAGGATGAAGAATGGGTAACTCACAAGGTAACCCTTCAGATGGAAATCAAGGAGCACACAGTTAGGGTCAAGTGTTATGTGGGGCCCCTTGTAGGAAAGGAACACATTCTTCTCAGAATGCTGTTCCTGAAGGAGTTCAAACCAAGAATGAACTGGGAAACTGGCAAGATTACTTGTTGGGATGATGGGTATGTACCCCTAAAAGGAAGCTCATGCTTGGTTGGACAGGTATTGTTAAATCCTATGGATTTGGGTTGTATGAAGGAATCTTCCAATCCTCCCTTGGAAGTGGTAAAACTGGTTTCAGGTGAAACCCCTGAAGTAAAAATTAACAAGACTACTTTGTCTACAGAACTCAAGGCTGCCTTGGTGGCAGGAAAAGAGGAAGTCAAGCTTCCAGAAATCTACAAGGAGTTCACCAAGGTGTTCGCAGAAGACAACATACCACTCCTGGCACATTGGCCAGGATTAGATCATGAGATCAGACTCCATGAAGACTTCAAGCTGAAGAAAGCAATGGTATATCTGATGTCTCCTGATGAACTTGAAGTTTTAGATGAGTTCTTGGATGAAAACCTCAAATGCAAAAAGATTCAACCATCAACATCACCTCAAGTGGCACCAGTATTCTTTGTGGTGAAGAAGGATGAGAAGAAGTGGTTAATTCAAGACTACTGCTACCTCAATTTGTTCACCATCCCAGACACACACCCATTGCCTAATGCACAGGCTCTGTTTGACAAGCTAGTGGAGTTGAAGTATTATGCTAAGTTCAACATTCGATGGGGTTTTACTAACCTACAGGTCAAAGAGGGTGATGAATGGAAAGGAGAATTTATAACACCAAGAGGGCTGTTTGAGCCCATGGTAATGTTCTTTGGTCAATGCAACTCACCACCCTCTTTTCAAAGGTACATGGATAAGACCTTTGAATCTCAACAAGGAAAACAGGTCAGTTACATGGATGATGTAGCTATCCATGTGAAGACAAAAGAAGAACTTTGGGAACAGGTTTGCAAGTTCCTGAAGATCTGTGAAAAGGAAGGTTTGTGCCTCAAGA